TATATGTATATATATATGTAAGTATATATATATATATGAAAATGTGTAAAGATTGTACATTCAGCTTTCAACACAGAGGAATATAAAAATGATTCAGAAAATTCATGTTTTCATTATTTAATTTATGATACTAATGATGCTGTTTTTTTACATTTAGCTCAATAGATTTCAAACCTAAATTTTTTTACATATGAAATTTAATTTTTTTATCGAATAAACTATTTTAAATACTGATTGTGCGTAATATATTCAGATACGCCACAGATGTTCGCATAATCTAAAAAAATATGTAATTACATATCTAATGGTAATTACATATCTGATGGTATATTGTTTATAGTAATTAGAAAACCATAGCATACTAACAAAATATTTAAAGTACACTTACAGCACTGAAACTATTTAAAGATAGATCCATAAACTTTCCCGCAGTGATTTTACTGGGAATGCTAGACATCGAGATTATCAAAACGAGACCGCGAGCAGTTTTGTGTGGAATTCGATACCAATCGAAAGTACAAAAAGTGATATACATCTTCGTGCTCTATAATACGATAATATAATAGGTATCAATAAGTCTTATCAAATTTGATAAATTAACAATTATTGGTCAAACCTGATCCATGAGAATCTCACCGACGAAACATAGTACGAAGATGTTAAAAATAAATGTTAAAAAAAGCATAGCATATATTAGTATAGATACTGCATCATTACTTTCCCACTCCTGTAAAACGATCATAAAAAAATAGTTCCTATTAATTATCTCTTTTAATATAAAAATATATTTAAATTATATTAATAATATAAAAATTCTAGTAAAATTATATTAATTAATATAAAAAAAAATATATAATTTAATTATATTAAACTTATAATTTTTTGTGTACCATTATTATATAATATCCAAGAAGACACAAAATGAACGTGCACCCGACTACTTCCACCAAACATATATATTGCAAAATTTCTTCTACCTTGCTTAGAAAACTAAATGGCATTAATAATAATATCTTATTCTTATTAATGTTTTTTATATTTATAAAATAATAATTATGGCATTTTCTCGCACATAACATCATTGGTGTAACAGCATTACCTCTTTATTCTGATATGCTGTTTCACGACAGCTGCCAATTTCTCGTTGGCATATTTATCAGAGAAGTACTTAGCCTCCGTGAGATCTTCCATTCTAGTCATGAGAATTTTTAATTGACCACAGGCATGCAACACCAGAAGAATTGCCAAACTATAGGCTCCGCTGGTTGCCGAGTGCACAAATCCGGAGAGAAACTGGAGTGAAAAGATAATCTCGTAAGCTGGCGTCTTCTGTGAATCGACGAATACATAATAACCATCGAATCCCATCGGTCTGATTGTCACGTTTTGCGGTGTGACGATGACTCCGCGAGATAATGGCATGATTGTGCGAAACGAAAATCCGCTACCGTATACGAAGGCTACGCAGATGATCGCAAGGCTGCGTCCGATTTTCGAATTGTTTATCATGATTTTGCGATCTCCTATCAGACTCGCTTTGCTCCAGTCTTTCTCGATGTGCTCGATGCAATCTTTGATTTGATCATTTCGATAAATTAACAATGTATGTTTTAGCACCGCCATCGAGCAGCTGCATATTGGACCAATCATCTTCATGCGCCGACGCGCATTTGATTCCTTGAGAAACATCTTAAGTACACTCGGCACAATAATGAAGTAGAGTAGGGCCTGAGAAAGAATCCTGATCATCTTTGTCTGGATAATTCTGAGAGTAGACGAATTGTCAGGCAACGGCCATACGCCAATCAGGTTTAGGACACTACGCGTAACACTCACAGTGCGTTTGACATCATCATGATGAAAGATATTCACATTCATAACTTGAGAATCTACTTGATCTTGACGTTGTCGACGGAGAACTGATCGGACGTATCGTCATGAAGTGAAAAATGCAAATGGCGATGCGCTTGCGTCTTCGATGAGAGCGGAAGAAGTAAGGGATTGACAGGTACAGCGATTGTTACCCACAATCTTTTTCCCTCTTGTAAATCACGGAAAAGTTATAAAAGTTATTGTTGGGGACGTTCGAGGAATCATTTATCATGAAGGGAAATCTAGTGACTTCAGAAGGCACACGAGAAAATATCGAGATAAAAATAGCGAACACACAAAGAAAAATGACAGATGTTCTATTGATCTTTTAACGGTACATTCATCATTTCGTGTTCAATAAAATATTTTGTCATAAAAAGTAAGAAACAAAGTAAGAGTTCAAATAACAATTATAAATGATTATAAAAATACATTGTGAAAGATCATATTAATGCTAATCATATTAAATCATATTAATGCTAATTTTTCTTTTTAATAAATTATAGATGTCAAATAGTTTATTAATAAGTAATAAAGAAGATAAAATAGAAATTGAAAGAAATGTCTGGTATATTGTTTAACTCACTATTGCATTATTTGTTCTTTTTTATAGATGAACAATAAGATAATTAAATAAAAATTTTGTTATAGTTTTTTATAAGTGATTTCTAACTCAAACAGGAAGTTAAAATAATAAATCTATACGTAATGATATGATACATTATTGTATGAGCGAAGTATATTTGAATCGAAATCTATATTTCGCAAAATAACATATTAAGAATAAGAGAAAATTTGTATAATTTAATTTTTTAATTTTATACTTTTATCTTTATATTAATATTTCTACTAACAATTAATATTTCTTTTACATGACGTTATATGTCTCTACATCTGCAAAAAAATATAATCGAACTTTTTTTAAAAGGTTACTCAATCATTTTTCGAATAAAATTAAGATATTTCGCAGCCGTATTAACAACCTGAAATATAGTACATATTTTCATTCATCATTTTTTACAACTTAAACTTGTTACTTACATCAGTGAAAGTTCTGATGGACAGATCGAAGATCGGCTTTTAGATGGGACAATCAACGTAGCTATAATTAATATCAATGCTCGTGCTATCGCATTCGGAAGACAGTACCAAGCCAATATACATATTGTTAATGCTAATTTCTCTCCCAAATTTTAGTAAAAAATGTTACAAGATATAAAATAAAAAATATCCGATATATTTTCTGTCTTACTATTTTTTAAATGCATGGATTTATATAATACGATACCTCTCTGGAAAGTTGTTCACTGAAAAACAAAAGATATAAATGTTGCCAATGAATAAATGAAGCCAATTGATATGAGCCAAATGAGATAGGAGCACATAGATATAACATTATGATCTTCCTGCAAGATAATTATATTTATTTACCTCGCATATACACACACACACACACACACACACACACACACACACACACTTCGCGCGCGCGCGAATAACTATGAAAGGACGCGTACAAATTTTCATTAGAAAATCTTTTAATCTGCTATATTAAAAAAAAGAACTTAAAAACAAAGCAAAAAACGACACAACACATTAATGTGTATTAACTTTATGTGAAATTCAATTATTTTAATCTATTTAACGAATGTGTTTTATTTAATAGATGATCATCTTGGTACAAATAAAAAGAATATAAAATAAATACAGATATAAAATTGTGAATGATATGAGATAAATAAGACTTACTTTTGCATCTTTATCTGATGTTCTATGGTAAAGACCAGCTATTTATCCAAATTTTTTTCCTCCCTTTCATTTAGGGCTATTTATTAATTATCGAGATCAGTTATTAATGTCATTAATGTATCTCATGCTGTCCACATGTATGCATAACGAAGAGAAGGCTACAAATCACCGTGATGGCCGTATACTTGATGAATTCGGAGAAGAACTGTATAAAGAACATGATTTCGTATGCTAGACTGATTTGCCCGTTAAATAGAACAAAACTCGGACATGGCAAATGCCTGACAGTGATGTTCCGATTGGTGATGGTTCTTCCCTTGCTTAACGGCACGATTGTAGGAAAATATAAGCTGGATATGCCGCACAGAATGAGCAAATGTCTTGTAGTCATGACTTTATGAATCAAGGAATTACGAGTACTGATACTTGTGACATGTCGCCAATCGTCCTTCGCGCTAATTGGCGCTAGACTGTTTCTTACTTGATTTTTATTAAACACCAAACTGCTGTACTTGAGGAACTCCAGTATCGTGAACAGATGAAATAAGTTTCAATCTGATGCGAGTTCGTTTTTCTACAAATACTATGTACAAATTGTCAGGATTCACAATCGAGGAGAAAATAGCTGCTGATATCAGCAAGATTCTCTTTAAATGTTCAAGAAACGAAGATTCAGTTTCTGGGCAAATACCTAATAGACGGCAAATAATGTATTGTATAATGTATTTTAAGTCGTTCACGTAATTTTCATTTGGATATATTTCTAATATGATCATATTGTGTATTTTTATAAGAGATTTTGCGACTTTATAACTTTGTGTCGCACAGAATGCAGTAAAAATGCGGGGAAACGATCACAAGGGTCTTCTTTCATTACTGATCACAGCGAGCTACCTTTCAGAGGGTAATTGACGATCTGAACAACAGCTCACAAAAAGGTAAAGGACATGCTCGGAATTCCCGAGTAAGCACGAAATGAATAAAGTTTAGAAGTCCTAAGAGTTGAGGAAAATTGTTTCCTTTAAATTATACTTTTTATCGCTAACCTTTCTTAACTATAATAATCAGAAAAGTTATTATGTATGTAACTCCAATTCTTCTTCTTTCGTAAACTCGGTCTTGCAAAAATATGATGATGCAGGATAAAAATCAAATAATAACGTATATATATTGAAAAAAATTATTTACTTATCAAGTAATAAAGTATATACTTGATAGTACATATACCTTGTAGATGGTATCAAATGGGCAAACATGAGAGACGCGATTTCGTTACTTGTTTGTAAATGATTAGAAATTAATTGGAGCGTTTAACATATGTGTGACAAGCACTTTAATTTATTTTTACTGATATTTTAATGAGAATTTCAAGAAACATTAATAATTCATGTCAGAGAGTAACTCACTGTAAGATTAGAACATGCTACTATACATTCATTGCCAATCTGTCAATCACGTTATCGCAAAAATCTTCCCGACCGTCAACTAAATGTTCGATCCATTGTATTAAGACTTCCAGACGACCATAGGCATGCATCGGCAGATAAACTACATGCACCAGCAGTAATGTGTGGAACCCGACAGGCACTGAATCCAAAAGAGAATCTCACTGATAGGATTATGTCGCGCGTCGAGTATTACACTGGCGACTGGTTACACTAGAGGCCGATACGTCAGATTTCCATCACTCTCTGTAATCTTTACGAAAAAGCAGAGCAAAACACGGCATATGAAGAATGCTCAGATCGACTTAACGCGACCGAACTTGATTTCTGATTATGACGATCCGATCATTAGAATGCCAAATATACCACTGCGGATGTCATTCTTGTAGAAAATTAGTGAGAAGTATTTAACAATGGCCATTAGATAAAACTCAGCGGACCGGAAAATTTCAAAATGAGCTATACATCCATTTGGAGTAACATGAAGTTTGCTTTTGATGTTATTATATTATTGTTCGAATGATTTGCACATTGTATTACGTTGTTTTGAAAAATATTAGATGTACCTGTTCCATTACAAGTTTGCCTATGTAACAAAATATGAATATGTCAAACGTAAACGAAGTGAAGGAGTATCAAGTATGTTAAATCCCTCACAGGTTTTTCTAAAATCCCATTCTTATAATATATATTAATTATGATTGATAAAATAAAAACTTTTAAAGAAAAACGAAATTTTTAAGAAAAATGATTAATTTTTTGATACAGTATTAATTGATATCGATATATTCACTTTATTATATTATTACTTTAATAATATAAAAATGAATTTATGAATTTATTAATTTATTATATTATAAATCATTTAGCATATATTATGAATCATTATATTACATTAAATTAAGCTTATTTTATTAAATGGATATATATACTATCATGCAATAATATCCAAAAAAACATACGTACAGACCACAATTTCCATCCAAGAAATTTCATGCAACAATTCCTCGATTAGAAATATGAAGCTAAAAACGCGTAGAACAAGTAATTGCATTTCTCCTTTATAAAAATTATTAGTGTGTATTTTATAGCAAATCTTATTAGATAAATATATAAGTATACACACACACACGCACACTCACACACACACACACACACACACACACACACACACACACATATATACATATACATACATACACCTACATATGGTATATTCTGTTTATGCATAGTACATTACCTAATTATTGGCATATTTTAATTTCTTATATCTCTATTTTTGACAAACAGTGCATACGCAATATTTTAATACGTTCGAAGTTCATACTTACTCAAGATATGCATGCATAATTGTATTATCTTAGCTAATCTCTCATCTCTATTAATCTCTCAATCTCTCACATGATTGCCCTCTCGACTATCGATGGTTTATCCAGAACACGAACTCCTGCAGTTGTCCACATGCATGCATTGCGCGGAGATTTGCCAAGCTACACGCGGCCACTGTGATGTTGTGGGCGATTAAGTCGGTAAATAATTGGATGATGAAATATAAAATGTTATTAACTGGACTACAAAGATCATCGACAATCACAATGGGCAATGGAAACATCAGCCTGCAATAAGTGAAATTGATAAATCCTCCTCTTTGATCTTCGCGTAAATCAGTGGAACCGCCACGAAATAGAACATGACACCGTCGTACATGAATATACTGCAGATGACTATCAGCCGACCGCCAAAGTTTGCGTTCTCCAGCATGATTCTTCTCTCATCCATGTATCTCCAGTCACTCTTAATATAATCAACATA